CCAAGGGTGTCACCCCAAAGCCGCTTGCTAAACTATGCCAACATTGTGACTACTCTTGCAGAAAAGGGATTTACAGACTTGCTACATGCTTCCGAACATGGAAACCTGTCGATATTCTGAGGAAGATGACTCAAATTACCAGGCCCAGCAAAACGACCTGCCACCAGAAGCTGAGGTCATGGAAGCGGATGCCACGAAGCCTCAGTGGTCTTTGGGACTTCCCAGGTTTGGGGCTTCAGGGATTTTAGGGGTTTGAGGGGCATTGTTTTAAGGTGTCGGGCTTCGGGTTAGAGAGAACACAGGCTAAGGATAAGAACCAGGCACGTCTTTGAGCAGGCGGTTCACAACAAAAGGCACAAGGCTTTGAGGACAGTGAACAGCTCTTGTGTCGTGACCTTGAAGCGACCTAGATAGGGCACCAAAAAGCCACATACACATGTGACTCTACAAACAGGGTTTTCCCGAATCCCCCTTAGGGGCCCATATACCCCAATGGATGCTTATGTAGTTTTTGGGCCCTGAACTGCAAGTGAAGGGTCCACTCTCTCAAAGTTTGGGCTGCTTTGGAATCCATCTTCAAGGTTGATAGGAGCCCTGACTGCAGCCCATTCTTTGAACCCTCTTGTTCGTTGAGCCTTCTTGGATCCTTAACCCTTCTGCACAGTCGGTGCGTGCACAGACCCTGAACCCCCCTACACCCGAAGAGCCCCGAACCACACCCTTGCGCCTCTGTGGCCAGGACCACAGCAAGGTGATCAGCTGGGCATGGCTTGATTCTTCCGCCCGCCACCTGCCACTGCAGCTTTCGCCGGATTGCATCAGCTTTGCCCAAGTTCGCGACGCGCGGCCCAGGTTTATAAAAGAGGATGTAAGGAGCTGTAAGCAGGGTTCAAGTCGCCGTAAACTCAGCAAACGGTTCAGGCGCGCGTCTCCTTGACCTCATTCCCTGGGATGAAAGTGCGCGTGTCTACCAGGATTCACGTCGCACGGTTTCGGACCCTCGGGGCAAAGCCCTCTGAGCATAGCTTCAAGGAATCAAGTGATAAAAAGGCACCGCCGGCACCAGAAATAAGCAGGTCTTGGGGTTTAGGGAGGGGGGTTTTCAAGTCCATGGGGTTAGAGGTGCTGAGTAGCTTGCCTAAACCCTTAAAAACCCTAAACCCTAAAACAGAGTAAGCCCCCCCCCCCCCATTTTCCCCCCATAGGCTGCCTGGAGGAGAGCACCCGGAGGTCGCCAGCATCGGGCAGTTCCTGGACTTGTTCGCCTGAGGGCGCTTGCATATGAGGCTTTGTGGGGGGGGTTAGGGTTTAGGGTTTAGGGTTTAGGGTTTAGGGTTTAGGGTTTAGGGTTTAGGGTTTAGGGTTTAGGGTTTAGGGTTTAGGGTTTAGGGTTAAGGGTTTCGGGTCTAGGGTTTAGGTTTGTTGCATGAGGCTTTGGGGGGTTTAGGGTTCATCTTCGGGAAGTTACATGGTCCCTTGGGCCTATTCAGGGGGCTTATAGCGCTTAGGGTTTCAGAGGATTAGGGATTTAGGGGCCTAGATTCAGAGCTTAAGAGTTTCGGGGCATTAGGGTTTGGTGGGGGCTTTGAGCTTTGTGGTTTTGGTGGTTAGGGGCTTGGGGTTTGGGGGTTTATAGGGCTTAGGGTCTTAGATTGACAACCAGTTGCCATGAAAGCCATCCTCATGTTCTTGCTTCGATGGGGCCAGGTTCTGAAGCTTTCTTCTCCCGAGTAGAGCCTAAAAAGCTCCTTCACTGAGTACTTGCGCATCTTGGCACAGCTTATCGGGCAGCTTAGACCCAAGTTCTGACAACTAAGCTGAGGGTTTATGAGATTGTGAACACGGAACTTCCCAGTCTAGCACAACATTCCGCTAGGGCTGAAAGGTCCATTCTCCTGCAACACCTTCCAGCTGTCTCTCCATCGCAAAGGGCCCCACAACGAGCCTATGATTGGCGTCACCACGATTGGCGACAGAGTTTGTGGCAGCCACACCGGCGAATCCTGCCAAACCAACGATCGCATGCTTAACATTCATCCGGAAACCCACAGCCTGCATGCGCTCAGACAGACAGACAGCCAGACAGACAGACGGACAGACAGACAGGCATCCAGAGGCCGACTGACTGACTGACGCGCGCGCACACACGCGCGCACGCGCACACACACACACACACACACACACACAGACACATATGTATATATATATATACACACACAAGAGCACAAGTGCGCTCACGAGCATCTCCCAGCGAAGTTCAACCTCCTAAGTTCCGTTCGCAAAGAACTGAGTCAGCCCGCTGATGGAGATTAGTTAACAGTTATGGACCCCCACAAGTCGTTCCTTTTGCTGTTTGTTGGCGTGGGGAGGGGGAAGGAAGTATCTATTGAAAAAAAGAGGACAACTCAAGACATTCATGAGGTACCCCAAAGCAACTACAACTCGGGGAGGAGGGCTTCGAAGAAAATTGGATCCCCCCCCCAAAAAAAAATGGCTGCCTCCCAGGTCCCGGATGAAACCGAAAGCACCCATCGAACCTATAGAGCCGTAATAATTAGAATAGGGTTCTTGGGATGATTTTATAATATATATATATATATATATCAAGGGACCACAAGGGAATCATAGACTTTGGGGGGGTTGCATTCATGGCTCAGGGTTCAAGGTTTCGGGCCCTGGTCTTACAATGTCCGAAGCACCCTGAGCCTGCAACCTCTGCAGGCTGTGAAACCCTAAACCCTAAACCTCTCTTACCATTTCTATTTAAACTGTGAAACCCTAAACCTCTCTTACAATATATATTGAAACCCTATACACCTTCGTGGCTAAGGGCCATTTCTTCGTGGCTAAGGGTCATTTCTTCGTGGCCAAGGGTCATTTCTTCGTGGCTAAGGGTCATTTCTTCGTGGCTAAGGGCAATTTCTTCGCTAAGGGACATTTCTTCGTCGCTAAGGGCCATTTCCTGGGTGCTAAGGGCCATTTCCTGGGTGCTAAGGGCCATGTCTTCGTGGCTGAGGGTCATTTCTTCGTGGCTAAGGGTCATTTCCTTCGTGGCTAAGGGTCATTTCCTTCGTGGCTAAGGGTCATTTCTTCGTAGCTAAGGGTCATTTCTTCGTGGCCAAGGGTCATTTCTTCGTGGCTGAGGGTCATTTCTTCGTGGCTAAGGGTCGTTTCTTCGTGGCAAGGGTCATTTCTTCGTGGCCAAGGGTCATTTCTTCGTGGCTAAGGGCAATTTCTTCGCGAAGGGACATTTCTTCGTCGCTAAGGGCCATTTCCTGGGTGCTAAGGGCCATTTCCTGGGTGCTAAGGGCCATTTCTTCGTGGCTGAGGGTCATTTCTTCGTGGCTAAGGGTCATTTCTTCGTGGCTAAGGGTCATTTCTTCGTAGCTGAGGGTCATTTCTTCGTGGCTAAGGGTCATTTCCTTCGTGGCTAAGGGTCATTTCCTTCGTGGCTAAGGGTCATTTCTTCGTGGCTAAGGGTCATTTCTTCGTGGCTAAGGGTCATTTCTTCGTGGCTAAGGGTCATTTCTTCGAGCCCTCCGCCCCCCCCCCCTCCCCCCCAACCCCCCCCAACCCCCCCCCCCCCCCTCCCCCTGCCCTCTGGCTGCCCTGTGCGGCCAATGAAATGGTTCGTGGGTAGGATGGTCCATGACTGAGTGAGGTTGGAGGACAGGGCTTGCTGATGAATAATATAGTTTCTTTATTTCTTAATGTTTTGGGATTCTCTGGGTGGGTGGGTTTTTTTCGAGAGCCCAAACAGCGGCTCTACTGGAGATTGCTCGACCCGGAGCTGCTGAACCCTAAACCCTAAACCCTTGAACACCCTTGAAGAAATCTGGGGCATGTTGTAGCGCAGCAGGAACCACTCCCGGCCCTAAACACCCAAAACTCTCACCCCAAAGCCCTACGCCCTTAAGCAGCTGACCCTGAAAGCCCAAACCTCCAAAATCAAAGCTCCAAGAGCTCATCATGGACACCCTGGACCCCTAACCCCTGAACTCTCAAAACCTAAACCCTAAAACCATCCCAAGATCCAAAAATCCCAAAACCCCAAAACCCTAAAACCCCAAAACCCGAAAATCCTCCTAAAACCCCAAAATCCCTAACCCTGAAACCCTACACCCTGAAACCCTAGTCGCTGTTTTCTCCCGCCGGCCTTGGGGGCGGAGAGTGTCAGCCGCAGCGTGGCAGCGTCCGGGCCTAAGAGGGCCCCAGAGTTCTCCTGGAGGGGCGCTGGGTCTCGGGGTTTGTGTTTTGGGCTTTCGGGTAGTAGGGTTTATGTAGGGTTTCAGGTTTAGGGTTTGTGTAGGGTTTTACGTAGGGGTTTAGGATTTTTGGGCTTTAGGGTTTTAGGGTGTTAGGACTTTAGGGTTTTAGCGCTTTCGAATTCTAGAGATTTTGGGATTTGGAGTTTCTCGGGTCAACGGGGTGCCAGGGTTTAGTGTAGGGTTGAGAGTTCAGGGGAAGGGTATCGAAGCGACCCGAAACTCTAGACTGCCGAAGTAGACCTCCCCCCCTACCCCCCCCCCCAGAAAAAGCCCTTCTGCCACTACCAGGGAACTTTCGCCCCTAACTTGCAGACTTAGCACCGTAGAAAAATCTGAATGTCGAGGGCCTGGACTAAAGCCCTGAAACCCAAAAACCCTAAACCCAACACCCTACAACGCAAAGCCCCGAAAACCGTTGATTCAAAGACCTCGAGATCTGAAATTTGGGTTTCCATGACTGCATTCTCCTCATTAGCTGAGAGTAGCCTGGGCACCAAGAGGGTGCGCTTGTTTGTGCATTTGGAATCTTCAGGGGACCCCCAAACCCTAAACCAAAGTGCTTCACTGTCAACTAATGTCCCACACAGGGGCTGGACCGCTGAGGAGTTGGCCCGGCTGGGTGTCTCTCAAAGGCTTAGGGACGTGGGAGTTTAGGGTTTTTGGGGCAGCTTTAGCAGGGTCTCAAGGTACTTTGGGGCTCTGGGGTTTAGGGGCTTGAGGTACTTGAGGTTCTCACGCATCGACTTTCGTGGCTTTAGGTTTGTCGGGGCTTGGGGAGTCCTTCATCTGGACGGCCTTGGAGCTCTTGCCGACAGTCACTTGGATACAGAAAGGTGTGAGGTTCAGCAGGTAGACACCTGTCGAGGAACAGCTTTGAAGGTGAGGGGCGGGCGGGCCACTCAAAAAAACGCATGCGTCCGAGGAAGTTCACCTTCACGCTTGTCAAGCACTTGTGCAGACCTGTGCCGGGCTGCGTGCTGGCAACACAGCATGCCCTGTCGCACGCTTGATTTCCGACCGTGCGTTCAGAAGAATGTTTCTGTTCCATGTCTGGCTTGGGGGAGAGCCGGGAGTGGGGGGGGGACGAGGTACGTTCTGGTTGCCAAATCTTGTCTCCCCCCCCCCCCGCCCAGTACAATGTAACAGCAATGTAGCATCCACCTCGCTGGAGGATCTCGATGCTCACTTATTACTGTCTGTTGTTTCAAGGACTCTCGACCACCCGCATCGCAGTCCGCGGAAAGAGCATGTCTCATTGTGATTTCGGCGACGATCGACGTGGCTGCCTCCTATGGCACGCATTGCAGAAAATGGGACCTTGTTTGGGCTGGATGTGTGTGGCTCTGGTGTCTTCGTTCGCTGCCGGGTGTAGACTACACACTCAGATGCACTCAGGTCTAGGCGAGAGGCTGCAAACGTGCCCTGGAACGTGCAGTTGCTAAGAGGAGGACACAAAACAAAACTAGAAATGGAAAACACTGAGACGTCTGGCAGAAGACTTTTGCGAGGCCTCTACTTTTGCGAGGCCGCTAGGTGAAAAAGCTCTGCAAAATCTCACGTTGGTCATTGTTTCCGGAATCTTGTGATCTTCCTATACCGCGGTCTGCTACCAACCGCAGACCTCGTAGTTACGTGTAGTGGCTGTCGACCCACGAATGAAAAAAAAAAAAGCCTCTCCATCTTCTGACGCTCTCGACCCCTCTGACTCTTTAAACCCTCCGAGCGGACCTTTGGCCGCTTCCTTTTGGCGCCCGGCCGGGGCCTTGGTTGCTGCTCGCACCACATGTCGAGAACCGTCTTCGTGCGGAACGTCTAAGATGCCCTTGTAAACCCTTGACCCTAAGCCCTAAGCTGTAAAAACTCTATCCTAAACCCTTCACCCTCAACCTACACAACTTAATTGACCTAAACAAACTACCGGCCCTGGGAGGGTCTCTAGTCTATGCCTTACAAGTTATAAGCTACCCGAATTGTATCAACCACATATACAAACTCCGCCCTAAACCCCAAACACTTGACAGTAAAAAACCCTCAGTCCCATATATTCCTTCATTATATCCCTAGATCTCCCTACATATCTTCCCGTATAAACAGTGGCTTCTCGTTTAGGCAGGGTTCAGGGTTTTGGGTAAGGCGGGTAAGGTCGTCGGGTCGAGATGTGGCTGGGAGGTTTTCCGGTCTAGTTTAGTAATAGGGTTCAGGTTCAACCTGAGACCCTACTTACCCACGGCTACTAGTAGTAAGTACCCCTCTTTAACACTGCAGGTAAATCTGCACATCCTGGGAACCTTTTCACCTCTTAACTAGTAACCTATTTTAAAACTCCAGGTAAATTCGGTCCCTGGATTGGCAGGTAGCTAGGTGGGGCTTAGGATGGTTTGGGATTTAGGCCCTTTAGGAGCACAGGAGCGCTAACTACAGCGATGCCAGAAGACCCATAACCCGAGGGGCCAAGCGCCGGCCGTAGATCGACGCCAGGTCCCGGAGCCGGGCGAGGTCGTAGCTCGCAAGGTGGGATGCTTGGGTTTGAGGGTTTAGGGTTTAGGGTTTAGGGTTTAGGGTTTAGGGTTTAGGATGGCAGAGGGTTTGGGGATGCCTTTCTTTGTGGGTTGTGGGCTTGGGGCTGCTTTAGTTTTGGGGCTGAGGAGGTATTTTGGGGCTTACGGTATGGGGTAAGGAATGCGCTTGGGATGCTTCAGGTCTACAGTTCAAGGCTCCTGTTTGCACTTTGGGATGCCATCTAGCTTGTGTCGTCTGGTGAGTCGGGTGGGGTTCGAGGGTTTGGGGGGCCAGTGCGCACTAGGAGTGTGCAAACCTAGGCGGGCACCGAAAGCATGGCCGCTAACCACCTCTAGCCTCGCCTTCTGGGACGGCACTTTGCCAAGCTCCCTGGATCATGGCCTATAGAGGCATTTTGTTGAGTACATACCTGGGACCCTATTTACCTGCGGTTTAGGAGTAAGCACCCCTATTTAGTAGGCATAACCCTTAAAACAGGTAGAATTCCCACGCCGACCTTCAACCCCTAAACCGTAAACCGCCACGCCGAAACCCGCCTCAAGACCGCAGCCTCCGCTGCCATGACAGCCGCAGCATGGGACACGGAGACGAGCGTCTTGATGTCGCTCTCCCGCCCATCCTTCGGAGCAAAGACGTACGTACAGGAGCCCATGAAAACCTAAAGCCCAAATAGTCATAGACTAGTAGGCGTGGCATCAGGGTTTAGGTTCATAACGATCCAGAAAGTGTGGGGTTCGGGGGATGTACAGCGGGCATTGTGGTTGTAAAGAGCCCTTACAACCCAACTATGATTTTCGGGGGCGGAACACCCACGTTACCACCACCTTTTGCATTGCCTTCTGGGATGTCCACTTTACAACCAGCATTCTACATTCATGCTAGCGCAACGTCGAGAAGTAAAAGAAGGTACGGAGGCCTGGAAGGGATGCTTCCTTGCGAAGAGGCTTGTTTGCTCGAAAACTTACATACCCCTTGTACAGATCGCGATGGCAATCGGAGGGTGCATCTCTCAGACCGTGAGAACGTGAATCCGATCGCACGGCGGCGCGCATGCATGCCTGCGGATGGTCTCCGCGTAAACCCAGGCCCAGGCAGCGGTTTGCGAGCAACTTAAATTAGCTTCTTCTCAACTTTTTCAAGTCAAATTTGAAGGACAGAAAAAGCGAGCACTCATTGCCTTCACCACCACAAAGTAAGCCCAAAGCTTGGACGCCCAAACAGCCGCAAATGAGAAGGGGGTTGGTCAAGTTTGGGTCCTCTTACAGACACCGTTGTTTTGTAGGAACCCTCAAAGCCCCTAAGAGCACCTGCCTTTGAGATCCAGCCCAGCCATGCCCGCACGCTCCACTCGGTGGGAAACCGCCTCACCAGGGTGTTTTATTTTTACTATTTTGGTTCAGGGTTTAGGGTTTAGGTTTAGGGTTTAGGGCATAGGGTTTAGGGTTTAGGGTTTGAGGTTTGGGTGGGGTGGGTGGGGCTTGAGGTTGAGGAGTTTGGGGCCTAGGCTTTAAGGTAAGGGTCGGATGTCATTCGCAGGGCTGTGTGCGGACAACACCTCAAATAGCCCAACTTTCAACTGAAACCCTAAACCCTGTGCTAGCTGCTAGCCTAAAAGCCTCCCAAACTCCAGCCCCACTTCAAAGCCTATTCCAGCACCCTTGGATAGAAATCTGAGCCCCTAAACCCAAACTTGACAAAGCCCACCCCGAATTCGGATGCCGGAAGCCGGTATGTGGCTCCTTCTTGGGGACCAACCCACCAACGACCAGAACTACCGCTTGGGGAGCTGACATTGGGGGGGGGGGGGGCGTGATGCAAGTTCTGCGCCTCTTCCGGGGGCCTTCTCTTACGGCATATGGTGACTTCTTTAAATTATAGGCTCCCTTTTGGGGTCACTATTTTCAGTAGTATGGCGGCCCCTAATATTTAGAGTACCCAAAAAAAGACCATACTTTTGAGAACTGACCATATGCCTCATACAAAACAAGGTACCAAGAGTGCCTGTAAACCCTATAAACCCCATAAACCCTACAAACCCTAGAAACCCTATGAACCCTGTACACCCTAGAAACCCCTAGAAACCCAAACCCTTTCAAGCCTAGAGAAACCCTATACACCCTATAAACAAGCCCTATACGCCCTTGAAACCCTAAAATCCCTATAAACCCTCAACAACCCTGAGGTGCGCCTTTGAGTTCCCTCCGCCAGATCCCGGCTACTCGGCGGCCTCCGAAGTTGACCCCCCCCCCAACTGGGTTTAGGATTTAGGGTTTAGGGTTTGGGGTTTAGGGTTTAGGGTTTAGGGTTTAGGGTTTGGGGTTTGGGGTTTGGGGTTTAGGGTTTAGGGTTTACAGGGCCTCCTGGGACCCAACTTTTCCCTACAGTTTTAAGGGTTATACCTATTTCAATAGGGTAGGGCCTAGGGTCCAAAGTTTGGGGGTTCAATTTCGGCCTGAGCCAAGCACTTGGGGGTTAGTCTAGATGGGTCTAAGCGTGTAAGGGCGGGCTGGAAGGTCTGCAGATGAGTCGACCCTGGTGGCAGATCTGGGGTTGTTGATGGCTTTGGGCCTCAGGTGACGTGCTCAGGTCCTGAAAGTGAGACGTAGGTTGCCCTAAACCCCAAACCCCAAACCCTAAACCCCAAAACCCGAAACCCTAGGCCCTAGGCCCTAAACCCTAAACCCTTAAAAGAACAAAAGGCTTGAGGTTTTCAGCCCAGGGAGATTGCAGGGGCCCGGCTTTTCAAAGCCTTTTCAGGCCGCTGCCTCTTCATGAAGGGGTCCCAAGGAGGGTCCCCCAATGGCTTTGTGGGGTTTAGGGTTTAGGGTTTAGGGTTTAGGGTTTAGGGTTTAGGGTTTAGGGTTTAGGGTTTAGGGTTTAGCGTTTAGGGTTTAGGGTTTCCGGTATCTTTTGAAGTTGTCTGATCCACTTGGGTGCCCTCTGGAGCTTTCTGGCGCATCCCCATGTCCTCTTACGAAGCGACTGGGCCGGATGCTTTTAGCACCAGCGATCCACCCCGCGACGCACCCTAAAATTCAACCCTCAACCCTGAACTCAAAACCCTCAACCCTAATTAAACCCCAAACCCCACGTAACCAAGCCCAAAAAAAGCGCAAGCTTTTATAATCGTGGAGAAGCCCTAAGACCACCTCCGATCTTTTGTCTCTCGGCCTCAGCGCCTCCTCGTGGACCACGCGCGCCTGTCGGGTCCTCGGGGGCTGCAAGAGCACCGTGGTGACACCCGCGAGTCCGTTCTTTCATTCCCATATCAAGACCTTTGGGGTCTTTAGGGTTTAGGGTTTAGGGTTTAGGGTTTCGGGTTTAGGGTTTAGGGTTTAGGGTTTAGGGTTTAGGGTCTAGGGTTTAGGGTTTACGGGATATCAAGGAAGGCCTAGGGCTTAAGCTGAGGGGTGGGCAACCAAGGTGTCTCTGAGCCCCATAACCTCTAAAAACTGAGTCCCTAACCCCTACGAATCCTACATCTCAGCCCTAACCCCAAGTCCCCACCCCCTTATCTAGACTCCCCTTAGAACCTTATAAAAATAGTATTTTAAATATCCTCTTGGGTTTTATATAAACAAAAAACCAGGGGGATATAGTTATAAACCCCTGAACCATGGGTCCCTAAGCCCAAACCCAAAACCCCCAAAACCCTAAACCCCAAGCCCTCGAACCCCTGAAACCTCAAACCCCTACGGCCGCAGACCGCCAAGCATCATTTCGGCAATGCTCGTCGCAGCCTGCGCACGGGCGCCCGGCGCGAAACAAAAGGCAAGGCAGTCCAAACTTGATACCCTAAACCCTAACCTTTAAACAACAAACCCTAAACCCAAAACTTCCAACCCTAAATCCTAAGCGTCAAACCCTAAACCCTCAACCCTTACACTGGGGTAGCGCTGTCCACTTTGGCAAAGTTGTAATAACGCGGAAAAGGCACAGGCAGGCACAATTTCAGGCTCGAGTATGGTGGGGTTTCAGCGCACCCACACGTTCGTCGCTTCACAGGCCGCAAAAAAAGCGAATATCCTAGCATCGCTCACAAGTTGTGTTGCTCAGAAAATGGCTTACAAAGACATTCTGGGTATTTGGCTCCACATCACAAGGCTTGGTGTTGCAGGTTTCAGGTTTAGGGTTTAGGGGGTTAGGATGGGTTAGGGGTTTAGGGTTTGGGGTTTAGGGTTCTGTGGCCGGTGGTAGGGTTCGGGCTTGTTAGGGCTGAGGGTAAACAGCTCAGTGTCGGTATCGAGCCGAGAAGGCTGGAGGAGTGGAGCCTGATACCATGTAAAAACTCCCTAAACCCTAAACCCTAAACCCTAAACCCTATAAGCCTCGTAAGTTACACCCTGCAAACCCCAGCAACCTTGCAAGCCCGAAGACCTGCTTCCAGCGTCCCCCGCAGCCTCCTGCGTGATGGCATTCTCTGTGACATCCAGCGCTGTGAGGCGCCAGTTCCCTGCTTCAGAAGACTTGGATTTGGATTTAGGATTGGATTTGGATTTAGGATTCAGGATGCAGGGTTTAGGGGTTTAGCTAGGGCGCCGGGCTGAAGGTTTAGGGACCTTCAGTCAAGAAGTTGCTCTTGGTTGCTGGAAGAATTCTTCTCAGGAGATACTAGGCGTTCAGGTTTACTAGGCGGAGGCTTCATGCTGTCTTTTGAAGCCCTCGAATCCACGCTCCAAACCCCGAAGCCTCCTACGGGTTGCATCGAAGACAGGGGATATGTGGAGGGAGGAGGTGGGTTATCTAAGTCAGGGCCCCTTGTTGGGTCTATGGTACAAAAAGAGCTCCCAGTCTACAACAACCCCCTTACCCTGCAACCCTAACCCCTAAACCCTAAACCCTAAACCTTGACCCTAAACCACATTAGAGAAGATTTGGTCACGCAAGGTGCCTCGCAAGGCCTGGACCAAGGCTGAGCCACCTGTTGGCCGCATCTAGTTGGTAGCGAATGAGAGAATTCGGGGTTTGAGGTTTAGGGGTTTAGGGTTTTGGGTTTAGGGTTGTGGGGTCTAGAGTTTTGGGTCTAAGGTTTAGGGGTTTAGGGTTTTGGGTTTAGCATCCAACAAGTCAGAGGATTTTGTCAAGCGTTCTTGTCAGGCTCAGGTTGACAGAAAGCTTTTGGGGGGCTTTACGAAAGCGGTCCCTGTTATGAATGCAGGAATGTTCCTTATTGAAGGGTGGAGGGCTATATCAGCAACACCCGCTGCCGCGAAAGGGTGCCTTAGAACTTTGGGGTGTGCGGCTTTGGGCTTGGGGAATCTACGATTCAAGCGCCGGCTGCATCCCAAAACATCGAGGGCTTCGGCTTGATTCCGAAATAGTCAGGGTTTAGGGTTGTACATCTTCTACTCGCAGTCCTTACTTGGGATTATAGTAGAGGGTACTAAAATCCCTGACAAGGACTGTTCGTAGAAGGGCGAACATTCCAAGTTTTAGAATGTAGGATGCACGCCTGCGCTGCCAATCGCGTTGCTCTGCAAGGAGAGGTCCTGCAGAAGCCAATGGAGCATTCACGAGGCAAGTGCCCCTTAACTCTGAAACACGAACTATGCTAGCGTCGACCCCAAACACATAGAGACCATTCGAGCCAGAAAGAAGTCCAAAAGCGATGACGGTTTCGCATTTCGCGTAAAAGTGCGGACGGTTTTGCAGCAACGGCGTCCAAAAGCGAGGAAAACTTTTCGAGGGCCAAGCCCGCGCCTAGGCGAGAGCACGATTTTCGTCAAAAAGTTGAGCGAGCTTCAAGAAAGCGCACTGTCCGCAGCGCCCGCGCCGCCGGGCACGCTGCGCGGCTTCATGGACCTACCATGACCTACCCACGACCTACCATGACCTAGCCCCTGCTGCTCTTACTGTTGGACCCCCTGAATGTTGACACACTGCTTGGGGAACAAGATCGTCTAAAACCCATTGCAAACCCCAAATCCCCAAAGAATAAAGCCAATCCAGAGTATTTGACGGGGACTACCTCGAACTGAAATAAAGGTCGGTCCCGGGTCAAGTACCGGTCTCGTGTCTTGAAAGCCCGTTTCGGAAATGGGGTCCCTGAACCCTAAACCCTAGACCCTAGACCCTAAACCTGAAACCCTAAATCCGAACCCTAAACCCAACTATGCCTGCAGCCCGCAATTCTTCGAAATCGCGGCGGCCAGGGCTGAAGCACCCGCATCCTTTCAGGGGCAGAAGAGACGCCAGCGGCGAACAAGGCTTTCTGACACAAGGGAGTCTTGTCGGTTGGTGTTAGGGTTTAGGGTCTAGGGCTTGGGTGTTCGGGTTTATGGTGGAGAGGGCAGGGTCTAAAGTTTAGGGATGTAGCCGCAGGCTTCGGCTTACAAAGAGCGACAATGCTAAAGCGCACTCATCCGACCTCTCACGCCTGAAGGACGCTACCTGCTGGCTCTCTACTGGAGCTAGTCACTACTTGACTGGAGATGCCTGTCCCAGGCTTTGAACTTCACGGAATGACCTGCATGACGATCGCAGTTCGGGTTGCTGGGAACCTAAAGACAAGGAGGGGGGCCCAAAACCCTGTAAACCCCTAAACCCCCAAAGCACACCGCCTAAAAAACCCTAAAAACACGAAAAAAACTCGAAAACCCCCCTGAAACCCTTAAAAAAGCCCTAGCCTACAGGGGGGTTTAGGGTTTAGGGTTGAGGGCTTAGGGTTCAGGGGTTTAGGGTTTAGGGTTTTGGCCCTCGGCTCCCGAAGCTCGTTGCCACGGAGGCCCAGCCGCCGCAATTCGGTGGGAGATCGGAGCGCGGCCGCCACGGCCACCGCACCTAAGGCGGGAGCTCTTTTGGGAAGTTTAGGGTTAGGGTTTAGGTTTTAAGGTTTTAGGGTTTGGGGTTTAGGGTTTAAGGTTTAGGGATTTGGGGTGTAGGGTTTGGGGTTTAGGGTTTAGAGTTTGGGGCTCATACCTTCATAGGGCTGAGGACATGTTAGGCCCGTTGGGCCAAAGAAGGGAACTCCCTCCCAAGTGTTCTCGCCATATCCGGCATAAGCCCAACGCAAGCTCCTCGGCCCCAGAAACCCTAAGCTCTGGAACCCTGCAGCCCAAACACCCGGGTTTCGGGTTTAGGGTTTCGGGCTTCGGGTAGAGAATCGCGAAAGCCCGCTCTGAAACCCTAGCATGCATCAAGCGAGGTCGACCTTGGACCCGAAGGCTCTTCCCGCTAGTAGCCTTGAAACACCACACACTCCTCTAGACAGACGTCCGAACTCGAAGCCTGATGCAGGCCATCTCCCGGGGGCTTAGGGCCCAAACTCTAAACCCTGAACCCTAAACCCTGAACCCTACATCCCTAAACCCTAAACCCTGAATCCTAAACCGACATCCCCAACCCTATATCACCCCGTCGGAAGCTGGAATTGATCCCTCGGGCTTCGAGGCTAAAGGTGGCAACTAGCCCATGAGATGCGGAGCTGCTCTGTGTAGCGGCGAAAGGGCACCCTGAAACCTAAAAAGGAAGGGGGGCCCGGGCCCGCATGCTTGAGCACAGCTTGAGCAGTGAGGGGCAGGTATACGTGGTAACTTGTATATTCTTGCTAGACGCGGCTTTAGGGCAGCTTGTCAAACTCAGTGGCCTGAAAACCCAAACCCTAGCTAAATCCCCCCTTTCCAAAACCCGAACCCTCGCCCCTAAACCATAGACCCTGGAGCCGGCAAATCTTTGCTGGCCGAACCACCTTCAGCACGCACCTGCATCGCTCAGTGGGCACAAGTTTCAGAGCACGGAGTGCAAGGTTTCAGGTTTGGGGTTTCAGGTTTGAGGTTTGCATCAGGGTTCAGGGCTTAGGGTTTAAGGTGTTTGTTGAGCAAGTGCTTTCATAAACTGGATTCATGGGGTTCACAGGGTTTATGCGGTTTGTCGGGTTTGTAGGCTTAGTAGGATTTCTAGAGTTCCATCAACCCTGTGTACTTTGTTGGGAGTTTTTGGAGGTTCGGGCATCGTGACTCCAAGAAGCGAGATCATGGGAACCCCCGAAGCTACTGTTTGCTTAAGAAACCTTCAAAAAACAACGCTATTTTGTCATTATAAGAGTTATAGGGAGTATTTTCCTAAATTGTTGGGGGGGGGGGGGGGTTCTGAGGCAAATGGTATGAAGCTTGTTGCAATATCGTACATGGGATGAGAGTCACGTAGGAGACTCTTCCTGGGGCAGAGAGTTTCAAGAGCCCTGAACACCTTGTACCTTACAACCCCAAATCCTAAACCCTAAACCCTAAACCCTAGACCCTAGACCCTAAACCCTAAACCCTAAAGCCTAAACCCTATATAAACCACACCTTTGTTCCAACACCCTGCTTTCCGTGACCCCTGGCAGCTTGAGGCCCCCGCCTGGTTGAAAGCCAGTTCAAGCTCCTGCAGCCTGCTTCTCAATTCGGGTTTAGGGTTTAGGGTTTAGGGTTTAGGGTTTAGGTTTAGGGTTTAGGGTTTAGGGTTAGGGTTTAGGGTTTAGGGTTAGGGGGTCTAGGGTTTTGGGTTTTGGGTTTTGGGTTTTGGGGGGTCTAGGGTTCAGGGTTGGGGTCTAGGGTTTAGGGCGGTTTAGGGCTTTAAGGGTTTATGGAGTTTAGGGGGTTTAGGGTTTAGGTTCCTAGCAGATCGTGCATGCTCAGCGTTGAAGCGTTCTTGCTTGAGGTTGCATTGCTAGAACAACTGCCCTGGACATCGGCATACCACAGGCTGCCGAGATTAGGGTTTTGGCGAGATGTAACGCTACAACTGCCAGGCCTGCCGATCAAAATTCCTCTGGCCGGATGGTTCAAGAAATAGCTTGCTCGCTGATCTTTCCGGGGTGACTTTGGGGTGCAAGCTACAGCGCCCCCACAACGGTTGTTAAACTTCAAAGGCTACCTACTGGACAGCTAAGAGAGGAAGCCCTTCGCCATCCCACTCCTTGTGGCGCCCGAGACGAGCGCTGTCGCCCCGAGATCGCCCACCGCATTGTCCTCCAGGCGCAAGACCTTTCGCAGCCGAGGTCTCTCAGGTTTCTCTCAGAGCTTGGGGGCACTCTTAGGGGATGTCTGCTTGTTCGTTTAAGACTTACTTACCTCATGCCTGTCCAGCCCTAACCTACACACCCCCCCTGGCGCTGAGCCTGTACCAACGCCAGTCACTTTGCAAGGTAGTGAGGCGGTCGGTCAATACCATAGTCCCTCAACTTAGGGGGGGGCCCAAAAAGCCACACAAACACCCGGATTCTACAAAGAGGGTTTTGCAGAATGGGGGCCCTTTAGACCCCAATAGTAGGATCCTTATTGCTTAGTAAGCAGCTCTTGGGGCCCCGAACTTAAGCCCCCAAGCGTCAAGGCGCCTTAAGCGCAGTGTTGCTCATCAGCGCCTGCGCCAGAGCCTCTTCCAGGGCACCCGGTCTCACCAATTTTCGGCTTAAAGCCTAGACCCCAAACCTGAAACCCCGCACCCTTACTAAGCTCCGAACCTGACCCCTGAACCGCAGGCCGATAAACCCGAGCCGTAGGCTTTAGGCTTTCGGGGTCAGCTTTCTCAACTGGACTGAAGGGATGGGCAGTTGGGCGGTTTCTCGAGTGTCACAGATTAGGGCACCCTGAATCCCCAAACCCTAAACCCTAAACCCTAAAACCCTAAAACCCTAAACCCTAAACCCTAAACCCGAACGAAAGGAGGTCGAAAAGGTGGAAGCTTACTGGTTTCAAGAGGAGTCTAGCACGCATCCGAACAGAGCCTGCATCAGCATAAAACTGAGTTTCGGAAAATTCCCCCCAAAACTCAAAACTCCAGACCTTAGAACCCAGAATCCCGGAAGTCAATCATGTCCCCCTCAGCCCTGCAATCTCAACCCTGAGCCCCAAAACAGGTTCAGGGTTTAAAAGGCCTTCAACCTCTCAAAGGCCCCTCAGCCCTAAGCGCCTCGGCGCCCACCGAGCCGATGCGATTGTAGCCAAGATCGAGGCGGGTCAAGGCCCTCAGACTCAGAATCGTTCTGTGTGCATGCTCTTGGGTGCTGGTGTGTTTTTTTTCGGATCGGGTGGGCTCATACGGAGTCGAAGAGTCTTGAGACGTTGATGTCTGGGATGTAGGTTTTAGGGCTTCGGGGTGCATCCCTGGAAGCCACCCTTTCACGCAAACCTCCCCGTAAAAGGAGCCCTGAAGTCGCGAATGCGGGAGCCCAATGGCCCACAACTCTAGGGACCGAAGTATGGGTCCTCAATTTGGGCCCCTTGTTATATATAGACCTTATACACACTATATACAATAAGGGCCTATACTGCGGATCCCAAAATTCAGGCTAAGGGACCATGCTAAGAGCCCATGGTTTGCGACCTTAGAATAGCCCTCCCCCAAAGTCGAGGATTTAGTGTGCAGAAATTGGAACAGCCCCTCTCCCTCAAACCCCAACATAAACCTTAAACCTGCTCAAAAATATTAGTAGCATATCAACGCTGAAGGATACCAAGAAGGGGCCCTTCCTTCGAACCACTCCAAGGTCAGTTCCCTAAATGGCGGTCCTTCTTAGGGCTCCTCTTGTAGAACGGAGACTTCTCGTTCTTAGGGTACCAAAGAAACAGGGACTCATGAATACGGAAACTGCCCGCAGTAGCCTCAATCAATCCCATCCGTGCCGAGCCGCATGTTCTTGCGCAGGGCGCTCGCCAGAGCCAGGGCGCCATCTGGACCGATCGAGTTCATACCCAGATCCTGGGGGGCTTGTACCGACTTAACCCTGAAGCCCTAGACTGCCAAACCCTGAACTTCCTGCACCCTCAACACCCAAATGAGACCTAAAAGGGTTTATGGTCCATATACCCCAATAGGGGTTGTAGAGTAGTTATAGTAGGATCGGTAAGGCAAACCGCCCCCGACATGTTTGCTGGGCTCAGATGCTGCAGGGGGAGGCGGGAGCTGCTGCAGGGTTTAGGGTTCAGGGGTTTCCTTGGGGAGGGTTCTTCGAAGGTGAAGCATCAAATACTCAAACGCCGAACCGCAGAATCTTGCCCAAATGAGTGAGTCCCCATCGAGCTCCGAAAACAACCCTCAACCCGAAATGCTTCTCAAAGTCGAGATGTTGCAGAGTGGTGGTCACGCGAAGAAGTACCTGCTGGCTGGGGGGGCGCGTCGGTCGTAAGTGGCAAGTATCTGAGTGGTAGGGTCTTTGGGTATGTAGGGTTTCGGGTTTTCGGGATTACAGTGATGCTTAGCAGGCAATCTGGGTTACCAAGCCGCAGAAGCTACCAGCAGGCCCCCAGCATCCCGAAGACCAACCATCCTATCCCCGAAACCACTGGAAGCCAACTTCTAAACTCATTCCCCAAACAACCCTTAACCCCCCAAAAACCGACTCCCAGCTCATCCCTATAAGCCCTAAACCCTACAACCCTTTAAGCCCTGCGCACACCTGCACACCTTGTAGGCCCCGCCCCCCCCCCCCCCCCTGCCAGCCTTCTGGGCCACCAGCTTGCATCCCTGAGGGGGAAGGATTCGCTTTCTCTTCTGGGAACATTGAACCCTTCCCTGGAAAGGTTCCCAATGACACTATGTAGGGTTTGTAGGGTTGGAGGCATAATCCGCGATCGCAGGAATATGCAGGTAAGTGCGGACGCGCCCCGAACTACCAAGTGAAGCGTGCACCTCTCTGTCCACGGAATTTCGGCTTAAGGGTTTAGGGCGGGAAGCCTAGACCCTGAACCCGTTTGAGGTTTAGGGCCCAGGGTCGAAAGACCTTGCTAAACCCTAAGCCCTAAGCCCTGGGCCCTAAGCCTTATAAGCCCCAAACCCTAAGCCTTATAAGCCCTAAACCCTAAACCCTAAACCCTGAACCCTAAACCCTAAACCCTAAACCCTAAACCCTGAACCCTATAGTATTTGTAGCCCCCCCAGCTTACTGTGCGCAAGTCGTTGAGATGGGCCCCCCGCCTCGTCCCCGAGCTGATTGATTTCCAGGTCCAGCCGCCTGAGCCCTGCGCGGCGACTCTCTGAGCCCTCTCAGGAACCCTAAAACACACATATATATGTATGTAGATATATATATATACATGTATATATATATATATGTACATACATACATACATACATACATACATACATACATACATACATACATACATACATACATACATACATACATACATACATACATACATACATACATACATACATACATACATACACGTACATACATACACGTACATACACACGTACACAGACACATACACATACACATACACATACACATACATACATGCATATGTGCGTATATATATATATATGCTTGTTTACTTCTACCCCCCCTCTATACCCCACAAGGCAGTTCTCACAAACCCTAAACCCTGAACCCTGTAAAGCCCGGGGCACCCCTGCGATGTTTTCTCGGGAGCGCTGTATGCTGTTCTAGCAGGGATTTGCGGATTTGGGGGTTTATGGTTAGGGATTTACGGTTTATTGTTTGTAGGGATTCAGGGCTTAGGGTTGTGAATGTTCAGCCCCGACGACTTCATTCGGCTGTTAAGGGGTACTGTGGCTGCATAGTGACCAAATGACTTAGACTAGCGCGGGGTTTCTGACTATAAGGGTGATCGACCTACCTCTTCGTGGCACGAGGCCGTAGGGGTCAGGGTCTAGAATATCAGGCAAAGCCCAACCAAGGTTTTCGAGAGACCTTTGCACCTTCAACCCGAAGCCCTAAACCCTCATTGGAGGTTCAGGGTACTTACTAACCAATTATTACTGTACTTATAACTGTACTTGTAACCCATATTAGGGCCCTTAAGGGGCATATAAGTGGGCTATAAGTGCAGTCAGAACTGGTTAATAAGTACCATGAACCTCCAAGTAAACCCTAAACCCTAAACCCCTAAACCCTCTAAGTAACCCCAATCAGCCATCTGCCAGAGGGCCGGTGGCTATCGACACCGCTGCGACGGCACCGCGGGCGGTGATGGCATTTGCGCCCAAACTGAGCTGACGATCTTTTAGCAGGTACATGGTCCAATTCGTCCCTTATTCATCCTTATTCAATATGGGTTATAAATTGGGGAACTCTTGAATACCCCTTATATAGTTAACGGCTACTATTTCCATTTTCTAACCATGCACCACCCCCTAGCACCCAAACCATAACCACCTTTTCCTCAACCCTAAACTCACCGAAAGACCCATAGGAAAGACCCACCTGAAGACCAAAAAACATAACAACCTATACCTCAACCCTAACCCCACCAAAAACCCCACCCAAATACCCATACCATGGAACCACCAGAAGAACCATACACCACCACATAGAAAAACCCCCAACCTCAACAACATACACCCGCACCCCCACAGAACAACCCATATTCCCCAGCCCGAAATCCCTAACCCTTGAAAATGGAAATGGAAATCTCAAAAATTTTTCTAGTTGAGGGATAAGGTAAAATCATAATACAGTTATAATCTGTAACAACTTCAGGATTACAACTACATAATACTTATGCCTTATCAACTGGAATTTCAATGATTATCCTATCCTTATGCTTACCAAATAACATAAAGTAATGTTCTAAAAACTCGTCATTAAATAGCAATTGATGCGCATGATTAAACACTTTATCAATATCGGGTTTAGGTTTCTCGGGTTTTTCATGTGGTTCAGCAGCAACTAATTTATTAGGAAATTGTTCGTTTAAGCGTTTGCGTGTTTCCCTTTTCTGCTTTTCGCATTCCGCCTGAATTTCTGTTTGTATGTCATCGTTTAGCTTGCCTTCTTTCCTTAAGTTGCCTAATTTTGTAAAATAACCTTTCAATAATATATTTAGTTCCGAGTTCGGGTGTAACGTATAATGGAAATGGGCATCCCAGTTTTCGCGTTTTATTTTGTGTCCGCATTCTTCGCATAATTGGCTCCCCTTTGCCCTCTCTTCTCTTCTAACTTGGTTATATTCTTTCTGATTTTTCTTGTAGCATTTTCTTCAGCTAGAACCTTGAGTTTAGGATATAGGGGTTCAGGGGCCGACTGCGAGCCTGAAACGCGCCCAAGGAGCTACTCCACTTAAAAGGGTGGCGGCGTTTCGATTCTAAAGAACAAGGCCCTCTGAAAGCCTCAAAACCCTCAACGCCTGAAACCCTAAAGCCTCAAACTCGAAACGAGGGTTTCGGAAGCCCTTTCTAAAACCCTAGCTAAACCCCCAAACCCTAAACCCCCAAACCGTGTTGAGCTCTGAAGCCCTCAACCCTAAAGCTCCCCGAAGCCTTACTCCCGAGCCAGGCGCGACAGCTGGCGAAGCCCTGACGGCCGTGCTAGCGAGGCCGCAAGCGCCTCGCCCAGGCATCAGTAGGGTTTAGGGCTTAGGGTTAAGGTTAGGGTTTGGGGTTTCCGGGCTCAGGGTTCAGGGTTCAGGGTTTGGGGTTTGGGGTTTGGGGTTTGGGGCTGACACGGACTTGGAGTCAACAGGGGTTTGGGCTTACTATCTGCAGATAACTACGGCGTTCTTCTGGTTTAGGCTTCGGAACTTGGAGCCCGGATTTGAGAGCTTAGGGATGTTTAGGTTTTTGCAGTTTAGGGTTTGAGGCTTACAGGGCTTCAGGGCTTTGGGCGTTTGAGGGTCTTTGGCCTTTAGGAGTTTAAGGCGTTTACGGCTTTAGGGTTTTTCGGGGTTCAGGGTGTTAGCATTCCTGGGCTGTAGGGCTTCTAGGGTTTCTGGGGTTTACTCTAGGTTTATAAATGAGATTTTGTTGGACACTGGCCTCACAGGCTGGGTCTTCTAATCCACTATAGTATGGGCCCTTCTGTTTGGGATGCCAAGAAGAATCCTAACTTGGGAAAACCCATAGACGAAAGGGGAGGGATGCTACCAACTCAAGCCACGACAAGAAAGGGGTAGCGGCAGGCAGCAGCGGCAGCGGCGCCACCAAGCACAAGCAAACCGAGCAGCAAGAATAGCCACCGCCGCCGCCACCACTGCCACTGCCACTGCCACCACTGCCACCACCACCACCACCACCACTACCACCACCACCACCACCACCACCACCACTGTGGTTAAGGGGACCCTAGCGACAAAAAGGTCTCAACCCAGGAAGCTGAAATAACCCTCCATCTTGGGTCCCTGTTTTCATGCAGAGGTGCCGCAATTCAGGGGGGTGACCACCGAGGCTCCTCTTCATCTTTACGAAATATGCGGTACATTGAATTGAGGCTTGGGGCTCTCTGGGAAGGTCCTACGGCATCCTGCAAGACGAAGCCTCCACACCCAGCGCACCAAGCTCACAGTAGCAGAGGTCCAGGCCTCAGAGGAGGTGTCAGTCCCCATCTTGGGTGGTCCACGAAACCCTCTGAAAACGATTCCTACATGAGATCCTCTTCCACCCCATGGACACTCATGTGAAATTCTACCTGGCCTGGGGGTTTGGGGTGGGGGGGGAGAGAGGGGGGTTAGGGTGTGCTGGGGGAAGATTCGGGCTTAGGCGGCCTCAGGCCAGTTTAGGGTTTAGAGTTTAGAGGGTTCGGGCAGAGTCGAAGGTTTGCGTGTCAGCGGAGCCGACCCATACCGAAGACCTCCAGGCTGAAGGTTGCAGGGAAGTCCAGGCGCTCGTGAAATTGCAGTTTCGGCAAGCCTCCCCATACAGGGCCTTCCTAACCCAAAGGACGAAACACATTAGCGGCGTGCTTCTCTCACATCTGGTCGCGACAAATACGCATCACCCCATTGTGGATGCTACATAGCGGGAATACACATCAGCGGCGGAATTACACATCAGGACACTGCAATTCCCAAGTAGACGCTGGAAAACCAGCAAACAGCCAACATGCATCAGACTGCCGGATTTGCTGCGGATGCCGGTGTTTTGAGCATGTTTCATTGTATTGTAAAATTGTAACTATGTTTCAACAGCTAATTACCAGGCAGACGCTCGAAAATCAACTAACTGAGGAATCCCTAGTTCGACTAAACTTAAACTGCCGGAGGGGTTGGTCGAGTTGTCGCGGCGGTGATCAGAATAAACCCAATGTGGATGCAGATCGATGACAACGAGGCCGACTTCGACACATCAGGAAGTGTACTCTGGGGAATGCAGTTCCCCATTGTGGACGCCGATCGACGCGTTAAAAAAGCCGAGCGATGCGAGATAAAGCGACTACATGTACCAAAAAGACGACGTACCGTTGTGAGGAAGCTGCCCCCAGCCTGAAAGTGCTGCAAAAACGAGTACCACCCCTGAAGCCACGCAACTCAAGTCCAAAAGCCTTAAAAACCTTGAAACCCGAACTTCTTCCCTAAACTGGCCCTAAACCTTCCCTACGGCCCTTAATGCCGAAACCTCTCTCGCGCCCAGGGCGCTCCGCACGGTGCCGCGCTCCACCAGACGCCGGCCTAGTGCCGCAGCCGCGTCGGCCGCCAAGGTGGTGAAGTTGCAGCGGATGACCTCCTGGCCTCAATTTTTCGTGTAATATAGGGGCTTGAATAATTAGAACAACGTTTTGGGGGTGATAGGGACCCGAAGGGAACATTAGTAGTTATTCCGACCCCTGTTTTAAGGAGGTTGAGGGAAAGGTAAAGGGCTGACAGGGCTTACAGGAACGAGTGGGTGAAAACGGAGTTTCGGGGGTTCAGGGCTGGAGGATTTCTTTGAGAGGCGGGGGTTTAGACCTTATAACCCTACGAGCCGACAAACCCTCTACAGTACCACCTTAGCCCTGCAACATCCTACAACCCTGATCAGCAAAAAAACCTGAACCCTAGAGTACCGCTAAACCTGGAACCCTGAAACCCTGAACCCCACCCTGAACCTCACCCTAAACCCTCCAAACCCTATATAAACCCTTAACCCTAAACCCTGAACCGCCTGAGTCCACGAGAGCCAGAAGCGCGCCGGCGCTGAGTGCAGCTTTGGCCTCAGCGAGGGTTTGGGGCCAAGGAAGCGGCTGAGGGTTCGGGCTTAGCCCGAAGGCCCTAAGGCCCTGAGGCCCTGAGGCCCTAAGGCCCTAAGGCCTGAGGCCTTAAGGCCCTAAGGCCCTAAGAACCTCGAGACCCAGTTGGGCTATGCTAGGCTCAAGCACAGGGATCGTGGTGGCAGGGCCCGGACGGAACTGAGCGTGTCAAAAACTCAACTGCGAAGGAGCTCTGGCTGCAAGCCCTGTACACATTTCCACACCCTGCTTTCCTAAGCCCGGCCTGGAACCCCACAAAAACCCAAAAGAGCCCGAAACCCGAAATCAAGCCCCAAGGTCTGAAACCCAGCAGTTGCCTTCAGTGTGTCTGCGCCCCATCCGGCATGGCCCATGGCTTCGTGGCGGGCTGGCTGCAGTTCCTAAACCGTGAAACCCTAAGCTTATGGCGAAGCTCTGGTGCCTACGTGGCATCGCCGTGCCGCTCCATGATCCGGAGTTTCGGGAAAGCTGCTGCTAGAAACTAAGCTCGTCTATACCATCATGCTTCGTAGGCCCACTTTATACTTGCCCTGGCTGCATCGAATTCCCGGCACTCAATGTGTCTACCGATGCACTGGGTGGGACTCTACATCTGAACACTCAACCCTGCGCCATGCGCGCTGTCGACCTCAAGATTCGCACTCTGACAGTATAGGTCTTAGGAATTCTAGAGCGTCAATGTTTGACTGGGGCCTACAAATTTCGGAGTGGGCGCCCTCGTTGTGAGAAACATGCTTCAAACAAACATCTTGGACTCGGGAGTGGTTTTGGGGCTTCATTCACTTCTGAGTATCTGTATCGATCAGCTTTCTTGCTGGAATGTGTGGGCATGGTGCAACCCCTGCGATCAAATGTAGACCGGTTTTACTCTCAGACTTCTGTGCGCGCGCATGTCTGTAGTTTGGATCTCTCCAGCAATTGTATAATGTCTAATATACTGGCAGGCAAGTCATCTTAACATGAAGTGCTCCTGGATTCATCTATGAGTAAGAATGAGCTATATAAGCAGCATGCAAGCTACGAAACAGTCTCACAAAAAAGAGAGCCCCCTCGATAACAGTAGGTTTAGACACTACCCGCCCCTTGAAAGCAAGCACAACCCCTAAGCCCCCAAAGCCACTAAAGCCCTGAAAAGACTAAAGCACAAAAAGCACCCTAAACCCTAAACCCTAAACCCTAAACCCTGAACCCGAAACCCGAAACCCTAAACCCGAAGCCCTGAACCCGAAACCCGAAACCCGAAACCCGAAACCCTAAACCCCAAACCCGAACCCCTAAACCCTAACCCCTAAACCCGAAACCCTAAACCCTACGCCCCCAAACCCTAAACCCTAAACCCCAAACCCGAAACCCGAAAAGCTGCAGCGGGCACCTCCCAGACTCCAGATCCCAGAGCCTCTGCCGGGACCGATGCGCTGAAGACAGCTCAGGGTTTTTGCGTTAAGGGGGTTTAGGGTTTAGGGTTTAGGGTTTAGGGTTTAGGGTTTAGGGTTTAGGGTTTAGGGTTTAGGGTTTAGGGTTTAGGGTTAGGGTTTAGGATTTAGGGTTTAGGGTTTAGGGTTGAGGGTTGAGGGTTGAGGGTTGAGGGTTGAGGGTTGAGGGTTGAGGGTTGAGGGTTTAGGGCGCAGGGTGTAGGGTTTAGATTCTCAGGGGCTCTGGGGGCTTTGGGGGTTTTAGGAAGTTTAGAGCGCTAAAACTTGCTGGTCAGGGTTCAGGCTGGGGTTTGGGGTTTGGGGTTTGGGGTTTGGGGTTTAGGGTTTAGGGTTTAGGGTTTGGGGTTTAGAGTTTAGGGTTCGCTGTAGGGTTTAGGGTTTTGGGCTGAGGGTGCAAAGGGCCTCGGTCCGGAGCTGCCAAATCCTTTACACCTCATCCAAACCCAAACCGGGAACCCCAGATCCTCGACACCAAAACCTCAGACCCTAGTTAGGTTTAGGGCTTAGGGTTTAGGGTTTAGGGTTTAGGGTTTAGGATTTAGGATTTAGGGTTTAGGGTTTAGGGTTTAGGGTTTAGGGTTTAGGGTTTAGGGTTCAGGGTTCAGGGTTCAGGGTTCAGGGTTCAGGGTTTAAGGTTTAGGGTTTAGGGTTTAGGGCTTAGGGTTTAGGGTTTAGGGTTTAGAATTTAGGGTTTAGGGTTTAGGGTTCTAAGCCGAGCTCTTCAATTCTCTGCTCTGCGTGGTCTGGAATCTCCTTGCAACCACCCGAGCCGCCGACATCACGGAGCAATCCCGTGAGCCCGTCAAAAGAGCTGCGCTGGCCTTCAAGGCTGGCTTGCGATGCTCTCCTCATAGATCCCCGGGCCCCAATGTACTGTGATGATCATGGGAACCCTTTAATATCAGGGCTGTGCCGGGGATTTTGGGGCAAGGGATTCGGGCTTGGGGGCTGACAAGGCCAAGGCCGAGGGCTCCGAAGGTTCGGGGTTGCATGGCCTTTTGGGGTTTGGGGTTTAGGGTTTAGGGTTCGCCTTGGCCCCGGCAACATTTCTGCGAAAGCGCAGTCCCAAGCAAGAAAAAAATGTGGGTGGGGCCGTGCCATGTGAGAAGCAACCTTTCAGAGCAACAGTGCGGAGTAGCCTGATTTGAAATCAGATGTATCTCTCTAAGACTCTAAGATTCTCTCTGAAGGAAAGTGGACTTAATTTAATTTTTCCTTTGTCACTTGAAGAGTTGATGGCTTAGGGGCTAGCGGAGATGGCAAATTGGCCCCGAACCCCAAACACAAAATCTCGAGCACGCCAGTGCGGCTAGCCTGCACATCGCCAGCTGAGCCCCATTCCTGGCGCAGCTCATAGCTAACTATCAGTCGCTCTGCCATCGGCTGCTGCTATGGCTGATGGCTAAGACGAGGTGTTGTTGAGGCTTCAGGGGCCCCAACCCTAGCCCCGCCCACCTTGCTACCCCCCAACAGTTGAGCATTTACCTGGTTCGCTTGGCAGGAAGAACCGAAAGGCTCCGATTTGTTGGATGTGCAGTCGCGTGTGCAACTAACTTCGTGGCTTCACCCTGTACTCCCCAACGGCCCGCACACGTCCTCCACAATGTCCAGGGCGCTCACAGACATGAGGTGCCCCTCAAACTTCTGTACCTGAGCGGTTGAGGGGTTAGGTCAGGCCCACGGCAGCCTCAAGATTGGTAGGCAACAGCTGAGGGCTCGAGGGCTCCCACCTACTACTGCGTCGGTGATGCACCTCTCATGCAGCTCGACGCTCAAACATCTCCAGGACAGGGGGGAGGATCAGACACTGACAATCAACAAAGTAGACTGGAGGTTTTGACGGATTCGGCTGCAGAGAATATCATCCTTACAGCCCCCAAAAACGTCATTTAGTCATACCTATCCGAAGTGCCTACACTCTTCTAACAGGCCCAATCTAATCACACCTGTCCAAACTACCTACACTGCTCAAATAGGGCCCTGCAACACCCTGGCCCTGGTCCGAGACGTGGGCAGGTTCGGGCGAGCCTTCTTTGAGGTCCGCCTGCCTCCATAGTTGCACAGTCCCGTCTGCAGACCTCAACGTATGCAGCTTCTGGAGTAGCCTAAACCCAAAAACCCTAAACCCTAAACAGCAAAGCCTAAACCCTTTATGCATGCCATGCAGACATCTCATGCGCATTCACGACCTGACAGGGTCAAGGGCTTGGTTGCGAGGCAGCTTTGTGGATGTTGACTTGTTTGGCCAGCCCAGTGGGTCTGAGCACAGAATGGCTACAAGCCAAAAAGCCTGGCGTACCGCAGCCCCGAAGCCAATAAAACACGCCGAGCCCAGCTTCTCGCGAAAGACCATGAAAAGCCTCGGTTCTCAACCCTACATAACCCCCAACCCTCCCTCACAACCCTCTCAACCCTCACAACCCTCTCAACCCTCTCAAACCTCACAAACAACCCTCTCAATTTTCTCGACCCTTACAACCCTCTCAACCCTCTCAACCCTCTCGACCCTCTCGACCCTCTCGACCCTCTCGACCCTCTGAAGGACCCTAACCCCTCTCAAGGATCCTAAACCCCTCGCTAAACAGGTAAGAACACCCCCGAGCCGCCAACGCAGTAAGGAGGGAGCCGGAAGGCCCCTCCAAGAGCCGGTTCACGGCCTTCCTCTGACACAGGGTTTTGGGGATTGAAGGCTTTGGGATGGGATGGGATAATAATCGGGGTGCTGCATCCCTATTAAGAACTGTGGCATAAGGGGGAGCATCCCAAGCTGAGGGGTTTGAGGTGTGGTATTGTTCAACTGGGGCTACAACTGATTTAGGGACCTGTTTAGTTTGGCATGGGCACTTTCAGTCTTTAGGCTCTTGATATCATGTGTGCTGTTGGTAGTTATTGCGGTTTCCGTGCAACCCCTGAAGCTCCAAAATAGATATGGCTTCCGTGTCAAAGAACGGATTTCGGCGCAGGAGGGGTGGGCGGGCGGCCTTTCCTGGCAGAGGAACCCTGAACCCCGCAAGGATTGCAGCACAAACCCCGGCTGGCACACGAAACTCTACAAGCCCTACACCCTAAAAGGGCAAAGCAGGCCTTCACATTATTCTTCCAAAGTGGCTCCAAAGCCAAAACAAGAAACCATGGACCGTCGACACACTCATGCTCTTTAGAACGTTGTCCGTAGTTTTTTCTGAAGGGGGCTACAAGAGAGATGAGGCTCTGTGGACAACCCGAGTTGGCTACCATCAGACTGTTCCCTTTCTGAGACACAATGTCATGCAGGGTTTTGTGTTAAAGGTCTCTGGTCTGGCGGAAGGTACTGCCACAGGGTGTTCTTGCGTGCCAGGCGACTTGTGCGCACGAAACCTCGGCGGACGAAGCATCAAGTTTCAGCCGACATGCGGCCATGGGTGCATGGGCCCGAAGAGGTTCACAGGAACGCTCCCCTGGTCCTCCACAGAACACTGCACCATGAGGTAGGGGTGACTACATACATGCAGTAGCGGGTTCCAAGTAACCTCGGAGGAGGAGTAACTAACCACCCTTTCGGGGAAAATGTGGGGCATGTCAGGAACCAAAAGGATACTGTACGGTCGCATGCTCACCTTAGCACAGACACCAGCAGTTCACGATGTGGAGGCGTGTAAGACCCTACAAACTTCAATGCCCCTTGTAACTCAGGAATTTTCCTGAGCTCGATGAGCATTCCTGCTAACTATAATTTGAGGATATAAGGAATACTCTTGCAAGTTCCTAAACCTCTGGTGCAAGTTCCTAAACCTCTGGTGTGGGTTCTTAACCATGCTACGCAGAAGCGTGAGGACGGACATCTGCAGGAAGCAAACCCTTTGCCTCCTAAACCCTAAACCCTAAACCCTAAACCCTAAACCCTAAACCCTAAACCCTAAACCCTACAGGTACAGGGGATC